TTCAGGCTCAGGATATTTTTTTTTTTGCTTTAATCCCTGCCTAAGAATTAATGCTGGTCTTAAGGCAAAAGGGGATGTACTACCATGGCTGATAAGTAGGGTTGGGTACCAAGAATTGATCAGAACCAGTTCTAACCTTTCAATTCTCCCAAAATCATTTTTCTTAAACTCTTAGTTAAGATGTCCAGTCTGACTGAACTAGAAGCTGCCTAATAGCAGTGACGAAGAATTCACAGGTGTGTATGCGCAACTATCTCTTTGTGTCGTATTTAAAAGTCTGGCGTAAAGCTAAATTAAAAAATGACCAGTGGGCTACCTGCAACACTGGCGATGGGATTATATTATGCAAAGGCTGCAACTGACATAATTAAACATTGTTTAACTCGTCTTTAACCTGCAGTACTGGTGTTGCAAGGTAGGCTCCAGAGGGAATTTGTTTCTCCACTTAATTTATAGCACACCTTCAGGAGGGAAATGGAGCCTTTTTTATACTTTCTTCATCTTACTTCACATCTTAACAGATACTCGCCTTGTTTCCCAGGAATTCTGAATAGAATGGAAAGCACTTTAATCTTGATCTGTCAGACTTGTAAATAATTCTAAGCTTAACTCCATCAATTGTTTAATTTAGCTCATTTGGGATTTGTTTCATATGATTAAACCCACTAACTAAACTATGTATTATGAAATCTAATCATTCCTCTATCCACAATATTAAAACATCACCACTTCAATGTCTAGCTGAGTGGAGCTGAGGTGCAGTAAACAATGCTGAGGATATAAATTCTGTCAGGATGCCTTCCTGCTGTGCTGCTTTTTCCTGCAGCTCACACACTCAGGCGAGAACCGCACCATAGTCAGAATCAGGTCAGTAAATAATAAAATGGTCTTATTCCAAATAAGTACCTGAAGCATCAGACAATGGATATATGCAAATGTATTTTAATTATGTATTAAAACAGGAAGCTCCGTCAAAAAATGTGAAAATAATATTTAAGGGTTGAAAATAATTGTGTGATAATTTACACAGTTATATGTATAATAAAATGTAATTTTATAAAGAGGTTCACACTATTTCATCCAGACAGAGGTCCAGTTAGCCAGCTAATGTTATAATCCTTCCTCTTAAAAGAATCGGAATCGGTAAGAACTAAGATGGAAACAAGGAATTGGAATCATCCAAATCGTCCAAGTCACTGCCATCCATCAGTGTCTGGCACTTTAATGTGCCAGACACTGATGGATGGTATCTATGTGGCACTGTCCATCTTATATCTGAAAATACTATTTTGTTAATTCTACATAAATATTTAGCTTTATTCCCTGGACAGACTCCCCTCCTCATCAATCAAAAGCTGCTAAGCAGTTATCAATCTAAATGACTGAAGCATCACTGAGGAAACAGGCACATCATCCTGCCATATTTACGAGTTTATGATTACCCACAAACTACTTTGATAATTTTGTAGGTAATGGAAAACGTAAGAAATTCCCCGGGAATTACAAATGTTTCATTTTTATTTACTGACTTTTTGAAAAATCCACTAAAAAATAGAGTAGTACTAGTTATCCTATTAGTATTGACTTGATGTTTAGCATTATTGTATGAAAATGGTAACTTTCAAAAAAAAAAAAAACTTGTATAGGCAAGCAAAGGCCAACATAAATAATGAACTCCATAAATACTTTATCTGGGATCAAGTTATATTAAAAAACAGTTGCTCTTTTAACTTCTACGATGTGAATTGTGTTTTTAAGTCGCACATAGGACGCTTAAAGAATTATGTAAAGATTTAATGCAAGGCCTTTTCATTTATTTACATCTAACACCAGGCTCGCACTGAATGCTGTGCAGCTGATTATTTGAGTTCCATGCAGGGTAGACTGTACTGGGAACTCAAATAATCGAAATCAACGTGTACACGCGTATAAGCCGCTGTGTGGTGCGGCTGCGTTACTGAGGCTGTGTGGTTCGACACAATGTTTTAGCAAGAAGGTGGAATGGCGGGAGGCCGCAGGGTTCCTAGCATCAAGCTCCCAAAATTTACACACCAAACAAAAGAAGTTGGGTGCCTGAAAAGGAAAAAAACCTGTCACTGTGAATTTCAAAATAAAATCAACTATCGGATCGAGTATGTTGGCCAATGGACAATTTTCCTTTAATCGCCCTGCAACTGCTAAACAGAAACACAAAGAAACAGAGGGGCCACTGGGGCATAAAAAGGGAAATGAATGCACAAGGAGCAAGTTTTTCAACTCCAGGAAAGAGAATGAATGTGAACGTCTGTTTGTCTTTAGCGTAATTTCTGCAGACTAAGCCGCAGCTATTCTAGCCTGGTTGCAGTGTTCAGTTCAAGTTACTTTGCAGCAAACCTGTGCTGCAGCTGCACAGCAGCCGCACTACATTCAGTATAGGCTCAGCGTGAGATAATTGCTAGGGATGCACTATGTTGGAATTGTGGCTGATATCTGATATGCCGATATTTTACAACTACACTGGATGATAATCAATACCGATATTTTTTCCCAATTACCTACTTAGAGCAACTATTTAGTTTTCTTTCTTCTACACTTTGTAGTCATTTCAAATAACAGTTTGGCTATACGTTTCAATAACTTAAAACTTGCAAACCACCAACATCTTAAATACAGCATCTTTCCTTTAACAAACTTATGCCAGATTTGAGAGCATGCAACCTTTTGGGGCTATTGGTATAATCCTCACTTTTTGTCACAAAAAACGAGTTACCTTTTATATCGGTGGGTTAGGCTGGTGGAATGGTCAGTGTTAAATGTTTTGTTTAATAGCTTATATCTGCTGATATTAATAACACCCCTATAATAATATGCATTGATAATTATTGAATCAATGAACAGTTAAAATTACCTAAATGTTCTAGTGGCTTAAAAAAAATCCAGCATCTCCAAATAAAAGTACCAGAGTACATAGAAAACATCTTACCTCTCACCGTCCATTCTCATATCCAAGGGCCCGTCTTTGCTGAGGGAGAAGCCTCTCTTCGCCTGATCCATCTGCATGGAGGAGCAGCCTGCATCCAGCAGGACAGCATCAATGCTGCCTGGCTTAATGTTCATGTTAGACATCAAGGCTTCTAGCTCACTGAACCGGCCAAGCAGGGGTTTCACACGACCACTGGAGGATTCAAGGGAGGAAAATAATTAGATTTTGAAATGCAGTGCCTCCAACAACATTGAGCTTGCCGTAAATCTAACTAGTAAAAGAGGGTATACATCTGAGCGTTTTTTTTTTTTTAGATAGTACATATTTGCTTTTTATGTCTGAAGTAAATCAAATTTTATTTGAATGACTCTAATCGTGTTCATAATTTCATTCTCTCATCAATTAGTTTATTTAAAAGCAACAGTAGCAAGTCAAAAACTAATTTGTACAAGTCTCCCCCTGGAGCATGCATGAGAAACCCCCGAGCAAGGTCTGGGTTTTCCCCATGGCCTTTATTTTCTCTCGAAAAACCAATACGTAGTACTATTCCTCTACTTTAATCTCATTATAATCTGATACCAACCAGAGTTCTTTTTTTTTTTCCTGTCAAAATACAAGCACAAATAGGCAGCCGGACTATAGGTAGCACTATAGATACTAAATAAATATTTCTGAAGAAGCATTGATACCTATCCTAGAGTTTTAGTCAATTGACCTGGCACCAACTAAGATCGCTCAATCTCCTCAGAAGGTCAAACCAGTATAAACTTATCACACCACCTATGGCGATTAGGCTCTTCTTTAGGGAGGATGAACAATTTCCAAGAGCTTTTTTGCATTAAAAACACATTTCCGTGACTATTACGTTAACCACTAACAAATGCTACAGTCATTGTGCTAGTTAATCTGATTAAAGACCCACCTAATCTCAACTTTTAGCAGGTATGATTGCTCTCTGCCTCACATCAAAGCATACTAATCTATGAAAGTTTGCATTGGTTTACTGAGCTTGCACAGTGCGATCCCAGGGCCTATTCCTGATGGGACGTACCTGGAAAACTTCCACAGTGAGGTGGTTCACGAAGCAAAAAGATGTCCTTGCCCCCTCAGCTGACACCTCTCAATGTGGAGGAGAAACAGCTCTACTCCGAAAACTGTCTATGATCGAGCTCCTTTCCCTGTATTAATAAGTATATATTGTACCAGTCCAAAATATAAATGTATTGGCCAGCCAATGTTTTGGGTTTAGTCTGGTTCACACCAAACAATTCACCTTGTTCACCTGCTGCTGGTCGCTTGAAATTTTGTCTGTCTCGCAAACCATTCCAAAACACAAGGCTGCAACATTTACCCAGCTTGCTTTACAGCGGCATCAAATAAGTGGAGCTTCTATCAACTAGCCGGTTTTTATTGTCTGATTAACAGTATTGTGGACTTAGGAAAAGTGCTGTATGTAATGTGGAAAGCTGACCAATGGCATCAGGGCTGTCCTCCTGCGTCCATAGGAAGTACCACTACCATTTCAGGAGCTGCCTCTGGACATATGTCACTTCCAGGGGTACTTCAGTTTTTCCAGGAACAAGTATCAGGACCTGCTGTCCCATATCGGGGATAGATGGGTGACATAACCCTGTATTTTTTCTATTATTTTACCAAAGGAAAGATGGGTGATTTCAATCACTGGCCAGCTGGCTGTTTTATCCACACATTAAGCTTATTAAAGGAAGGCCAACATAGTGCACAAGGGCATTGATAGTGCAACAGCAAACCCAAAACTTAAAAAATGGAGCAACCTGTAAACACAATTAAACTGCATCTGGTTTAGCTGTATATATATATATAAAAAATAAATAAAAATAAAGAAATAAAATATATACAGCTAGTCTCTGGTTTGCATCAGTTCTTTTTTTTGTCTCAAGTTTTAGTGGATACATTTCTGCAGAAGGGTTGCACTGGGGAGGAAAGCTGCAGCTTGAAGGAGTTTTTGTGTATCAATATGAAACAGCATTAGGTTTTTTTGGGTCAAAAACAAAAAAGCTCTTAAAAAATGCTCTTAAAAAACTATCATTGAATGGCTAAATCGAGGTCAGCGCAGCCAAATTACATCATTTTGGGCTTCCACGCCCCTTCACACAGACTCCATGTGGACAGCTGATACTAAGTGAGGGTTTGCAAATCTAAAGATCTAGAGACATCCTGTGATTTAGCTCATATATATATATATATATATATATATATATATATATATAT